ATGATTGACGAAACGTTAGCAAGTTCGACTCAACAACAACTGAAGCTAGAGGAATCCAAAAGTTTTGTAAATAGCAACATGGAAAGCCAATGAAGCTCGAACACTGCGCAAAGAAGATTTTGAAAAAACATTACCTTTACCACGAATACCCACAAATTGTATTCTATAAAAGGCAGCTGTGGGTATATAATGCTGGAATTCACAGCGGTAAAACAGACCATGGATATTGTAACGTTTGGGACGAAGGAGAAGTTGGCCGAGGGTCTCAAGCAGTGGGATCCGCACAATCAAACATAGATTTCCTCAACTCAATATCTGGACACAGTTTCTTACCGAACGATTCGGATTTCAGCTATATAGAAACTAAAATCATTCCAATATGTTTATACGCTTGATGACTATGTTGTTATTATGAGAAACTGCCGTAAAAAAGGCATTTATAATAACAAAAATGAAATATAATAATTTTTATGGCGTTTCAAATATTGAAAAAAATATTGTAAATAGACGTCAAACCGAAACAGGAGAAAAAATAAACTATCTACATGTATAGAACGATGAAATTTAAAAAGAATGACCCGTTTATAATCTTAGTTAAAGAAAATAATTTCGCATTAAATATAAAAAAATCTAAGAGAAAGAGCATCCACAACCATTAGTTCACCTTTCACCTTTTACATCTCTAGTGCCTTTGTGGCAAAATGGTAAACCAATATTAACTTAAACGAAATTATGCATTTTTCGAAGAAACTTCCACAAGCTACTGTAATACTGTAATAATTTTGCTGAGTCGAAGTTGCTAACGTTTGGCCAATCATCCTCTTGACTTCTTCAGAGTATGACTGAAACTGGCTCGCATTTTACTCTGTACCTGTTTATATATTTTTTGAGGGGGGCGGAGCTAAATCAGGGCCATAAACACCGCCTCGGATGACTGATTCCCATATTGGTGGCAGGTAGAAACCTCAGTCGCGGTTAAGATTGTTGGGTTGCTTATAAGCTCTGAAGAAGCCAACACGATGATTGGCGAAACGTTAGCTAGTTCGAGTCAGTAAAAACCGACGCTGGAAGAATCCAGAAGTTTTATAAAGAGAAATTATGCATCTCATACCTCTCTGCTCTGCCTTTTTATAGTTGAAGATCTACACGGATTAGACGTGGAGGAGCTAGATTTCAAGTTGAAGCAGAGTAGATACTTAATTATAATTTTTTACTATTGTTTCCTTTTCATTTTGCAAAATCCTACCAAGCCGCAAAATTTTTTGGTATTTTTGAAAAAATAATAAATAAAAACCTGTTATACTGTAACGGAAGATGATGATACTACAATTCTTTTTGGCTGCAGATTGTCTTATTTAGACAGAAGTTTATTTACGAATATCTCAATATTATTTATTTGAGGGTTGGAAGTTTTTTGCATAACATGACAAAATTGAGTGTACGACGCTGAGTAGGATTCTTCTGTTGAATTCTCCAGGGCCCCCAACATTCGAGAGCAGGTATAGAGTAGAACGTGAGCCAATCTCAATCAATCAATCAATCAATACAAATTTCTCTTCATTGAAAATAAAAGATAATCAAACACATTGAGATTTTTGAGTTTGCTTTCAGATTATGATTGTAAGATTAGTATGCATATTATCAACACTTGGTTCTTGGTTCTACATTAACCCCCTGAACCAAATGCTTTGTAGATTATTCATTTTGTCGTAGATTTGTTGTAGATTTATGGAATTCCGAGGAAAACTTTCCAAATGTTGGGTTTAAACCACATAATGTAACATTATGTTTGCCTTTATCCGTCACTGAAATATTTTTATTTGCCCAAGTTACCCACTTTGTAATTGGGTTTGGCCAGAGTAAATAATTGAAATTCAGTCCATCGATACGAGTTGCGCTTTGTATTTATTTGAATATAAAAATAATCGACGCGTAAAAAGTATATTTATAAGCTGACAACTAGAAGGTTATTTATTTACCCGCTTTATCAATCATCGACTTAATGACGGTTCTTAGAAGTAAAATTTACAATTGCGTTTCGCCGAATACGCCCGTAGCCACCATTAGACGCGGCAAATTTCCATTAAATTTGTTTGAAACATTTTAGAAGTGCCAGTGTGTATGTTAATTTGACTGCCGCCTGCAGGCACCATTCTATAATTCCTAATATGATTAAACACTTTCGTTCGACATTTGCTACCAGCGCTAGAGCTAGGAGAGTTATTTGTTACCAATCCGAAGTTGGTAAAAAATAAATATATGTATAAACATTATCATTAAACGTACAACTTTAATTTACTTCCAAGCAAGATATTTTGAAATTATTTTTGGAACAGCTTAAATTATGAGTCTGGGATGCGATATCTGTGTTTGAACTGAATTTTGTTAACATATAAATGTTGCCCTTTTTCTCCAATTTCGCAAAGAAATATTTGAAAATATTGTAAAATATTTGGCGAATCCATTTGCTAAACCTTTTAACCCACATTATCCCAAGCAAAAAAAAAAACTTTATTGCTCTGAAATTGTTTATTTTGTTTCACTTAAGAATACATTACATGTGTCAAAAAAAATAAAAACTCGAAACCTACAAAAAATACCGGTGCGTAAACGAACCACTGGAAAAAAACATTAAATAATGTTTTGGGTCACATAAGACGAAACATATAATTTATACATAAATATACAAAAGAAAGTCCAAATTCGACAGAAAACAACTAAAAGTTTTCGAAATAGAACTTGATCTGATAAAAAAAAAAGCACCTAATATTTTATGATACGTGAGCGCACCACTGGTAACACCCGCTTTCATTTTTGGTGACATTTTACAAAGCATGAAGTATGTAAATGCACATTACACTTATTACAAACGTAAATTGTGTGGCTGTGGCAGATTCTACGCCTCCTTCAGGCTTTATTAGCATGAACAATCATGAGGTGACCTTGATTATCATAACGCACTTCATCTATGGCAGGTGCAAGATTTCTTTGAGTAATTGTTTTATCAGTTTTTAAAACATAAAAAACACGAAAAATTTTTCAAGCGAAGTTTTTCCGAAAGCCTATTTTTTAGTACCTCACATGATCTAAATTCATCAGATATAGGTGTACTCAATCTGACCTTTCTTCCATTTGACAGTAGAAGCAAGCCTGTGGTTTGCAGAAATCATACGTCTTCTTTTGAATTCCATGGTTTCATCATCTGATGAGTCCCATTCAGGTTCAGTAGTTGATGAATTACAGGACTGTTGAAGGACAGCTGTATCAATTGGTCGGTGTATGTAACTCGAAAATTCCAACTATATCAGTTGGTGCCCCAAACTTTTGTAGATTTATGTTATAGTTCATATCTTCTTCGTCAGTCAAGGTATCCACGTCGGGTGGAATATAGACCGCGTCAATATGTTCTGTAAATATTTTTTCACGTTATTTTTAGCATAAATTTACAAGGAATGGAATGCTACAATACATAAGAATACGTAAATTCAAATAATACTTCCGACTTTCATTGTTATTGTCCTCATCCATCACGATCTCCTCCATAGCCGCCTCTAATCTCTTTTGAGTCAAATACCTCGGGAATGCCATATTTTATGAACTGTAACGTCCATTGCACAAGGCACAAGCCAATACTAAAGAACATATGCTGACTTGTCTAGACTTGCAATAACAAAGTTTTGTTTGTTGTGCATTCACGCAAAAAATAAAGCATAATCCATATAGTATTTCCAATGTATGTTTTCTGCGATGTAATCTACGTGCTATAGACTTAACAAAAATGGCAATACAAGTCCCAAATTTTTTTTTTACTATTTTGGATTTACTTGAAAATGTGTTTTGTTAACTTTTGAAGTCATACATAAGATCTTTCCTTTACACATAAATTAGCGATTTCTACGGTTTTATGTCCTTTAGTAGTGATAATAATAAAATTTCTAAATGGATGTTCAAAAATATTTCTTAGATGTGACAAGAAAAATCATGGAATAGGTGGTGCATTAATGCACCACTGGGACAAAATGGGTTAAGTTATTATAAGGTGCAGGTAATAAAATATTTTACCTTTGACGACCCGTGTCATAGGTTCCGCATCAAAGGCCTTGAAAGTGGTTTCAATATTGCCTCGTGGAGATTAACATCTAAAATCACTTTTATGGGAGTCAAATCCAGCCTTTATTAAAAGGAGGAAGTACATAATAGTATATTATGCAGCAAGAGCGGTACGCGACATTCGACTTACGAGTTTATTTGACACGAGCGGAGCGAGTGTTTAATAAACGAGTGACTTAAAAAGTTTAAGGAACGTGTTGCATACTATACAACACGAATACATTCACTGACATGACAGTCAGAATTGACAAACGTCAAAATTCAAAGCGTGGGAAATATCTCCGAAAACATCCGATTGCTCCCAAATCCGTGCGGTAAAATCCCGGAAATGTCCGAAATGGCTCGGATTCGTGGGAAAGGAAACTGACGTGGTAAAGTGACGCTTCCCGCACGCTAGATCGGTGGGTAATTAGGTATTTTACAGACGGAAGTAGAAAAACATATATGATACCAGTCTCGTTCTTTTTATTATTAATTTAATAAATAAGTACTTATATATAAAACCTGTCTTTCTCAAAACTAAAATATTTTCAGATGCGTAGAAGAAGGCAAACACGTCACAAACATCAAAAGAATGTAAGAATTCAGTAGCTTCTTGGCTGAAAAGAGCTACTTTCATCAAAGAATGACAGAAAACCTTTCAAATATTAGTAATTCTTTTAGACTTTAGGTCAAGATATAGTATCTTACTCTATTTTTAAGATACTTTAGGTTAGGTTGTCCTATATTTTTGCTATATTATATACCTTCACATTTCATATCTGTAATAGAAAAAAATCAGATGTGTCCTTCAGTCCAGTCCTTCACTTTTACCATCGAAAGCAAAATTAAAGATTAAATATCAATTGGAAAAAACTTGTGCATTTCAAATATCACTTGCTATTCCAATGATGACTTCACCAACCATACCCAATATGTTAATTCCGTCACACGCCAGTACCAAATACTGGGATAGAATTTGTGTAGTCGTACAACAATCTTGCTTTAGGTTAGGTTGTTCTATATTTTTGCTATATTATATACCTCCAAATTTCATATCTGCAACAGAAAAAAAAAAGATTTGTATAAAATGTGTTTTATTAATTGTATCTATCGGCAGTCCTTCACTTTTACCATCGAAAGCAAAATTAAAGATCCAGTAGCCCAATTAGTTAACTGGGCTACTGAAAATTACCTTTCCAGCATTTCTCATAGGCTGTTGGAAATAACCTAATGATTAAGTAAGGTCCACTATATAAGATCCTATATCCTCACAGTCGGATATAGTATAACTGGATATCCTTAGCATGTCCTAATAAACATCCTACGGACATACGTATCTGACATACTGTGGACGTTCCAAATAGTAACATCGTATATCCTTGAGACGTCTTAAGGATGTCCCTTAGCTGAAACAGTATATCTCTAGGACAGTGGTTCTCAACCGCCGTTCCGCGGAACACTGGTGTTCCGCGAAGCTGTCCCAGGTGTTCCGCGAAAATTTTGAATATAATATAATAAGAAACAGTAAATTTTTTTATTACTATGAAATAAATACTACATAGTTTTGTTAATTATTTGAAATTTAGCAAAAATATTCAATATTATTCTAAATTTTCGCGGAACAGTCAATAATATTAATAGTGTAATTATCGAACGACGCAGTTACGTCGTTTGGAGTTACTCCGGGGAATACCACTAAATTTCTAGTGTACTCGATAACGCAGGGAGCGCTACGTAGTGTTGATTTCGTGCTGTTTCTCTTTCTTCGTACGTAAATAACAAAAGCGCAATTTCGATCTGCGGTTCAGCCATAATTTAATATAAATATCGAGTTTTCGTGAGTGTGTTTTTTATTGTATATATATATTTTATATTGTTGGAAATTGGTAAGATGAAATGCAAGTTGTGTAGTTTTAACAGTATTCTTATCTTTTTTAGTTGCTTATTTTAGCATTTATACAAGACTTTTAAATCTGAAATATGGACAAATTTTTGAAAAGAAGAAAGACGGAAAGTGAGGTTAATGTTGGGGCGAGTACAAGCAGGTCTTCTTCAATTGAAGGAGATATGCAAGGCAACAAAAATGCCGAAAATAAACGTAAAAAGATATCCGAATCAGTTCGGCATTATTCGGAAGAATATCTGTTTGGTTTGGTTTGGTTTTACATGGAGCGGTAGTCAAGATGTTCTTATTCCGAGATGTATTGTATGTGGTGAAAAATTGGCTAACAGTGCAATGGTCCCAGCTAAGTTACAGCGACACCTTTCAACAAAACATTCTTGTCTAACTTCGAAAGGTAAAGATTATTTCGAAAGATTGCTGAAAAATCAAGAAGTGCAAGCAACATGCTTTCGAAAGAGCGTTACAATTTCGGATAAAGCGCAAATCGCTTCTTATAAAGTGGCAGAACTAATTGCATTGAAGCAAAAGCCGCATGATATCGCAGAATCGCTAATTTTGCCCGCATGTTTAGAAATTGTTAAGATTATGTTTGGCAATGAAGCGCAGCGAGACGTCCTAAAAATTCCCGTTTCGGACGATACGATAAAAAGAAGAATTATAGATATGTTAGGTTTTATAGAGAACGCAGTGACGGCGAAATTAAGTACAAAAAATTTTGCGCTGCAAATTGACGAATCCACTGACATAAGTGGCAAAGCCCAATTAATCGGATTTATTCGCTTTGTTGACGACACTGAAATAAAAAATCAGTTTTTATTCTGCAAGGAACTTATTGGTCACGCAACTGGAGAAGACATATTTAATTCAGTATCATCTTATTTGGAAGAATGGAAATTATCCTGGGAAAATTGCGCAGGAATCTGTACTGATGGAGCTCCAGCCATGCGTGGCAGTATTAAGGGATTTTGTAGTCGAGTTAAAGCAATAAATTCAAATATAGTCTCTACTCACTGCTTTCTGCACAGGGAATCTTTAATTTCGAAGAGTCTACCATCAAACTTAAAGTCTGTTTTGGAACAAGTCGTACATATGGTGAATTATATTAAATCGAGACCATTAAAAACCCGTATGTTCAAACAACTTTGTAACACCATGGAATCCAAATATGAATGTTTGCTTTTGCACTCTGAAGTGAGGTGGCTCTCAAGAGGAAAAGTGCTAACCCGAGTTCATGAGTTGAAACAGGAATTGCTAGTTTTTTTTAGACAAGAGGGTAATGATGTATATGTAAAATATTTGGAAAATGATGCATGGTGTACTAAGCTAGCATATTTAGCCGATATCTTCAGCTACTTAAATTCAGTCAATACATCTCTTCAAGGAATAAATAAAAATATTCTGACATCCACAGACAAATTGCTAGCTTTCCAGAAAAAGCTTTTGCTTTGGAAAAATCGTATTGCTCAATATCGCAAATTTGATATGTTTCCGTTATTAGCAACGGAAAATATTGTTAACATTAACGAAATGATTTCAAATGTGGCAGAGCATTTGTCAATATTGCAAGACAAAATAACTCAATACTTTCCATCTCTTAATATTGAAGACTTTGATTGGGCGCGAAATCCATTTGGTGAATTTGATATAATGAACCAAGATTTTTCTATTCAGGAAGCAGATGAGTTTATTAATATATCAACGGATCGAACGTTACAACTAAAATTCAAAGAAGAAGGAGTGGAAAGGTTTTGGATTTCCATCGAGAATGAACATCCATTTATTGCAAAACGAGCGTTGAATATCTTGTTGCTCTTTTCGACGTCCTATCTGTGCGAACTTGGATTTTCAACTCTAACAAATATTAAAAGCAAAAAAAGAGAAAGACTTACCAATTTAGAAGAAGAAATGAGAGTAGCGCTCTCTTACATAAGACCCAACCTTGAGGAAATTTGTAAAGGTCGTCAAGCGCAAATTTCTCATTAAAATAAGTTACCATGTAATATATATCTTTATTTCAATTAAATATTAATCTTCCAATTTTTTTGTGTGATTTACATTAGATTTACAAATTTTATGATAATGGTGTTCCGCCAAAATCGAGACCACTTAAAAGTGTTCCGTGATCCCAAAAAGGTTGAGAGCCACTGCTCTAGGATATACGCTATATCTCGTCAGATGTCCCGAGGATGTTTTAAGGACACCTTTGTGCTATTTGGGTTATTAATATAAGTTATCGCTTTGGCCAGTAATTTCATGGACACAAGATATATTTTTAAAACGCTACTTGCAATTAAAATCGTTAATTTTTGTCCCATCGCGCCGCGTAACTTTGAAATTTAGTTAATGATAGTATTAATTACGCCGGATTGTTTTTTATCCCGGGTCTCTCTCGCAGCGGGAGCCTCGGCGTAATTTACCGATTGGATGTTGGCCCGCCTCGGGGTCTCCGTCTCTCTCAGCGCAAAACGCATTACACGCTGAATTCATTTCGCGTGTGCCGTCTCCCTTCTTTTCGTCCTTTCTCCGTCTACAAACACGCACGTCAGAAATGCTTTTGAAGTACAGGCTAAAGCCATTAGGAGAACCCCATCGAGCCTTATAATATCAAGCGGAGGCCCCCGCTAGAAAGCATGAAAAATACACTCGACGATATACATTTCGAGCTAAATACGATTTCCCGGAAACAGCATACGCGGCGTGTGATTTTAGACGTGGCCTGCGCGCGAGGTACGTGTGTTAGTCAAAGACACACTTTTTTAAAAAACTTTTATTTTTTTAAATAATTTCATTGTTGTTAAAGACGGGAACAATTTGTAACAACAAAAAGCGAGTTTACTGCCTGAAGTTAAGAACAGAACTAAACTTTTCGTCTCAAACTCTACTAAAGGACATAAAACCGTAGAAATCGCTAATTTATGTATAAAGGAAAGATCTTACAGATGACTTCAAAAGTTAACAAAAGCGGTACGTAAATTTGCATCACATTTTCAAAATCCAAAATAGTAAAAAAAATATTTTTTGATTTGTATTGCCATTTTTGTTAAGTCTATAGCATGTAGATTACATCGCAAAAAACATACATTGGAAATACTATATTGATTACGCTTTATTTTTTGAAAATATTTACTGGTGCGTGAATGCACCACTGGTTTTATCTGTGAAAAAAAAACTTTATTATTGCAAGTCTAAACAAATCAGCGCATGTAGAATAAACCCCCAACAATTAGCGTGTTCTTTAGTATTAGTTTGTGCCTTATGCAGTCAACGTTATAGTTTGTAAAATATGGCATTTCCGAGGTATTTGACTCAAAAGGAATTAGAGACAATGAAAGTCGTAAGTATTATTTGGATTTACGTATTCTTATGTATTGTTGCATTACATTCCTTGTAAATGTATGCTAAAAATAACGTGAAAAAATATTTACAGTACATATTGACGCGGTCAATAATCCACCCGACGTGGATATCTTGACTGACGAAGAAGCCATGAACGATAACATAAATCTACAAGAGTTTGGGGAACCAACTGATATAATTGGAACTTTCGAGGTACATACACCGAATGATACAGCTGTCCTTCAACAGTCCTGTAATTCATCAACTACTGAACCTGAATGGAACTCATCAGATGATGAAACCCTGGAATTCAAAAGAAGACATATGCTTTCTGTAAACGACAGGCTTGCTTCTACTGTCAAATGGAAAAAAGGTCAGATTGAGTACAGTCACACAACTATATACGATGAATTTAGTTCATGTGAAATGCAAATATATTTTTTTAAGTTTATTGATCACGAAGTGATTGATTTGATTTTAAAATTTTCGGTAAACTATGCTCAAGACAATAACCGCCATGAATTTTCGTTATCAAAAAATGGACTTTTAAATTATGTAGGCATTTTATTTTTCTCGGGTTATCATTCATTGCTACATATTTAGCATTATTGGTCTACCGATGAAGACAAAGCAATTGATCTTATAAAAAAATGTATGAGCCGCAATAGATTCCAATTGATAAAGCAAAACTTGCACTTATCTGACAATATTCTGTTGGACAAAAATGATTTTCAAAAGTTAGAGCCTTCTTTGATGTAATAAATAAAAAAAATCTTCAGTTTGGCATATTTTCGTTCAACTTATCCATAGATGAACAATTTTTATTCACTTCCATATAGTGGTGCTCAAAACAAACCTCATTCTGACCTTGGGCTTGGCGGTGACGTTGTCATGTCATCAATATTTGTAAATTTAAATACTAATGGTTCTTTTGCCACCGATAGTATCCGGGAAAATAGAACAAATAAATGTCCAATGGAAAATTGCGAATCATTTGGAAAAAAAGACCGCGGATCTTATCTTTCAGCATATGAATCTAAATCAAAAATTTCCTATGTCCGCTGGCACGACAATTCACTTGTAACTGTCGCAAGTAATGTTTCTAGTGTAGATCCTGTCCAAAATGTACAACGCTATAAGGGAAAAGAATGGAAAGGTGTAAATATACCTCAATCGTATGTAATTGCCCAATACAATAGATATATGGGTAGATTTACATGACAACGGAATTGCTAATTACAGGTGCCAGGTATTTTGAAAAAAATGGTGGTGGCCTTTATTTTGTAACTCACTGGATGAAGACCTGAGTCGCAGTTAAGATTGTTTGGTTGCTTATCTTCTTCTTAAAATTCTATCTTCTATCGAAGGTTGGAAACCATCATGGCAATGCGGACCCTGTTGACAGCCGCTCTAAACAGCTCGGTGCTGCTACATCCGAACCAATCCCTCAGATTTCTCAGCCAGGATATTTTTCGCCTTCCGACACTTCTTTTTCCTCGGATTTTTCCCTGAATAATTAGTTGTAGCAAGCCATATCTCGGGCCCCTCATTAGATGTCCCATGTATTCAAGTTTTCGTTTTTTCATTGTCTACAGAATTTCCGGTTCACATCCCATCCTTCTGGGCACCTCAGCATTTGAGACCCTTTCCATCCACGATATCCTCAGGATCCTTCTGTAACACCAGAGCTCAAATGCGACCAGTTTATTTATATACACCTGCTTCCATACCATACAAAAGGACGGAAAACACGTAACACCTGAGCATTCTTAGCCGCGGAGTCAAACTTAGGTCTCTGTTGGTGAAGAACTTTTTAAGCCTGACAAACGCTGTTCGTGCTGCTTCAATTCGGGTTTTTATTTCCTTGGTGTGGTCAATACCCGAGGTCATCCACGTTCCCAAGTATTTGTATGAGTCCACTCTTTCGATGATGGATGGTGTTGTGCATAACTAAGTGGCAGTTTATGCGTGGTGATTTAGTGGCGACCATAATTTTTGTTTTGTTAAGGTTGATCTTTAACCCGTATTTCTTGCAGCATGTATTTATTCTATGCATTAGATTTTGCAAATCGTCGATGTTATCTGTTGTGATCACTGTGTCATCGGCGAATCGAAAGTTGTTGAGAACTTCGCCGTTTATCTTTATCCCATCTGAGCAATCATCCAACGCTTCCCGGAATATGGCCTCATTATAGACATTAAATAGCAATGGCGACAGAACACAGCCCTGTCGTACGCCCCTCAGTATTTAGATGTCCTCGGTATATTGACCGTCTAACCTGACCCTAGCTGTTTGGTTCCAATACAGTGTTGATATTATATTAATGTCGCTCTTGCCAATGTTTTTAGCCATTAGAATCTCTATTAGTTTTTCATGTTTCAATGAACCCCAGGTATATATCTTGGTTCATATCGAGACAGTGCCTCTCTTGTATCCATTCCATTTCTAAAACCAAACTGGGTGTTACTCATATCCGTTTCAAGGGTTTTGAAAATACGATTGTGAACTCCGCTATGCCAGTCCCTAGCCTGGGGCCTTGCCACATAAGAGGCAAGGAAGGAGGAGGGATCGAGGAGTAACACCTCGCTAAAAAACCTGGGTTCAGCTGGCTCCGGCTGATAGCACCTTGTGAGGGCCCCTTGTCCAGGGTTACGGATGAAGATCACACCGGCGGCAAAGACGCAGAAAAGTAGCTTTGATGCGGCGGATCCGGCGCAAGTGGCAACCCTGCTATTGAGGGATAATATGAAAGCACCTGAAAAGTGGCAGCTGGCTTTTCAAAACCAACTTACAGGCAGAAGTCATGGGGACTGAAATGGTTGTCTGTTGGACAGCAGATAGCGTGGTGACAGTCATTGAAGCGGTATGTCTACAGCGGTGTAGAAGGCCACGGAAAACCACTACACTGTATTTCCTAGTAAAAATTGTTATGGTTGCTTATAGATTTCTTCTTTTACAAGTGTTGCAAGAACTAATTTTTCCGCGTCATGATAGATTTACCACAGTGCTTGGTAGTTGAGAATAGTTTGATGGTTTCACCAATATTGACGGTGGTTTTTAAAATTTTTGAATGTGCATCTGAGTAAGAGATAAACGAAGATTTTCTCCTTTGTCATGAATCATGTTTGAAAGGATATCGAACTCGAACGGGGGACAAGTAGACCAACAACAACAAACGACAACCAACAACGGCAAAAATGAATCAGGCTATTTCAAGGGTCTATTTCTTTATGCATATGATGAATTCTTTCTCCAAGTAAACCAAAAAATTTTATAAGCGGACGAGGTTTTGACAAAAAAATTACGGACAACGTTATGGTATCTACAAAGTAACAAAAAGGTCAGTGTACAGAATAATCAGTTTCATATGTCAGTTATACTTATAATATATACGTTTTGGTTTGTTCATTTAAGGATTTCTTTCCTTTTCATGGTTTTCCGAAGCACCTACTAAAATAAATTCATTTCTTCCATTCACCTCTATAATGACCCAGGAAATTATCAGGTATCTAGAATCAGGGAATATTCTAGGGGGCCAACCATGGTATTTGAATAGGCCGGCACATCATTTTGGTTCTGTGGCATGATATCGATAATACTCTGTATTTATATTTGTCGATTTGTTCTTTGACAAAAATTAAAATTCATTTGGTATATTCTCTGGCTTTGCTCAACAGTTAATAAAAGTATTTTTTGTAATCAATTATTTTGATAAAAACAACAATAAATGGGCGACACACGTAGTTGAGTAGTGAGTAGAGGAACTTATTCGAAATGGGAATAGAAGCGAAAGTCGTCTATTAATTTATTCGTTACCTTTACTAAATGCTTTATAGGTAGGTAGATATCTATTTTCAAGTAGATGCTGTTGAAACTTTAACTACCTCCCATTCGATATTAATTATTATATGATATTTTGAATTGTTTTTTTTTATATTTATATAGTGACCAATCCGTTCTGGTTGACGAATATTGTAATTATTATATTATATCATATATCAGCGCTTATACAGAAGAAAACGTCATTGTAGTTCACACTACAATGACGTTGGCAGCTCAGTAAGACCAATTTGTTTCTATTGCGGTTGACTATTTATTTAGATCATTTATCTATGGTGTACCTGTGTGTGAACCGAAGTTCGGAACTATGTGGCACCTATTACTCATTTACTCATTACTATGATCTTAGACTTTTTTTATACCGCAACTAGCTGTGAGACGTTGTTAGTTATCGCTTAAAATTTGGATGAATATCTTTTGTTTTATATTCATATTCTTATTCTTTTACGTTTCGATTACCTACGGTAAAACCTGAGAACCTGTCAACTGTTCGCGGTACTTTGTCGTTACTTCGATAAGATTCCTGTAGCACTTAAACGAAGGATCTGGTAAAGGTAGAGGTGACCAAATGTCAGTTCCTTATTTATTTACTTTCTTACTAATTTGCAGCCAAGAGGCCGTCGTTGCCCATAAAATTAGTACTTCTTGAAGGTTAGTAAGGAACACAAACTAAATTATAACAAAAAATGTTCTGATTTTCACAGTTTTTAATGCTTTATGACAGC